ACATCATTCAATGAGAGGTTTGGTGAATTCCAGAAATACAAGATCTACCTGCAACTTTTTTCAACTCCATTTGATGTGAAAGTGGAAGATGCCCCTCCAGATGTCCAACTTGAGTTGATAGACATCCAGTGCAGTGATGAATTGAAATCACAGTTTAAAAATTCTAATCTCCTCACATTCTACAAAGAACTGCCAGATACATCATTTCCAAAACTGAAAGACAATGCTCGATTTTGTGCAAGCATGTTTGGCAGTACCTATGTATGTGAACAAGCATACATAGGTACTGCCAAACAAACTTGCAAGTTTTCGCTTATGAATTTAAACAAGTGCAAAACACGGAACAGGTTAACCAATGAGAATTTGGAAAATCTGCTGGTTGTTTCAACATCTGCCATTACACCAGACATAAAGAAGATTGCCGCCAGCATCCAATCTCAGTCATCGCATTAATTGCTTGGAGGTCCGGCCTCCAGTCAGTAAACTTAATCCTAATTTGGCCCTTCTTCACAAAAGGTTGTGCATCCCTGGCTTTAGGATGAATGATTTCCATGAATTCTAATTAAAATATTAGCAAACTCATATCTTTCAGCATCTGTTAATTATATCTACACTTTTGAGAATGTGCAACTTATGCAGAAAATACTTGAAGTAATCACAAACATTAATGTAATTTAAAAAAAAAAAATGAAAAATGCTTGTAAAGTTTTAATAAATATTAATATATGTTGTTTAAATTATTTATAAGATTTTATGATGTACATGTATTAATTTATTATAATTAAATAGTAGTTTACCTGAAAATGTACTAATTTAGCTAAATGAGGATCTGATATGAACACTTGATGTACATGAGAACAAATTAAACTTTGAACTTCACGTAATTCTGTTAAAAGGCCATTTTTTTCCTGAAACAAATTACAGACAATTTATTAAAAATTTTGTTTCCAAATATCCTTCTATTATTTAAATATGCAATAAAATTTAACAATTTTGGTGGATAAGCTTATATATTCTTCTATTTTTATCACATAGTCTTATAATTAAATTAGAAAAATTACTCATTCTACAATAACATTTATTAATATGTATGCTATTATACATAGCTATGTGGAAGACAGTGATTAATAAATCATTGAGATCACTACCATTCTACATTTCTTGCTGCTTCATAATTTTCATAATAAAATTTATGAATTTAATGCTTACAATAAGATTATATATATATATAGTAGGTACAGCTTATTGTAATTNGGTCTTAATGTATTAATAGAATAGAATGTTTATTAACGTAATAGGCAATAGCCTGTTACACGGGGGATGTTTATACAATTATTAGAACTTTACATAAATTAACTTTTCGATGAGCATTCGCCTTCCGTCTGTTACAATCAGGGTGGTTGGATTTCACAATTTCTTGATTATCTACACAGATTTATTTCTACATCTAATTACATTTTAACTTATACATCACATTCAGTATGTACCTTTTTACCCGTTTTAAAAACACTTCAAATTTATTCATTATTCCGTTTACAATATCTCAATGTTTTTACATTACATAGATCTTATTTTCATTATTAAATTCATATTTATGATAGCTACTTCAACATAGTAGATTAATTTATTCTTGTTTCTTCATTTTTTGCTTTACTAAATACTAGGATCAAGTGTTTATTAATTATTAACTTTAACTGTCACTTCAAATTATCATACAGGTTTCCGTAGAACCAATAATGTTAGGGTCTATGAATTTCTTTAGTAAGACTTTATAATTTTCCCGCAAAGACCCTATATTCACCAAAACCCTATTGGACAGAAAATTTTTTTTTGTCTTTGTTAGTCTCTCTCATATTTTTACTACCATTACATTACTAACATTTTTTCCTTTACTTACTGTATTAAGCTGATACATCAATATTGTAAACAATTGTCACCTTCCATCATTTCATTTGTCTTCTGCAAATACAGTAATACCTCGGTTTCAGTTTTCATTGATTTCTTTTGCAAAAAATTTGTCTCGGGTTTCGTCGGCATGCCCACATACGTGACCTTGCTGCTAATTCTGCGAAACTACATGTTTACCTGCTCAGTGTGGCATTGTTTCTTGTTGTGTGAGCATTACCCCGCACATCTAGCCAAACAATGGGCATATTCAAAATTTTAGTGTTCAGACAACACCTCTTTTCAAAATCTCAGATGACTTCCAGTTGCTGCCAGCAAATTGCAAGTGTCTTTTTCAGTGCTGGATACACCAGCAAACAAGATGGTAGCAACCACGAGGCTTGTAATAGCTCTATTTCGCATTGACAATTTTGAATTTAATTTATTTGTTGATGAATATACCCTGAATAAATTTTCGGTTAGTACATTAATAGAATATTTTAATATACTAGTATATTTACGTAAGACATCACATAATTTGTTTTAGTTGTTAAATCAATTCTAAGATTACGCTTTAATTATTTAAAACTCCTCTTATGGAAATTTTAAAAAAAACTTCATCCCTATTTCTCTTTTCGAAATATTCATTTTTCATTAAGCTGTTCAAAAATAAATTTAACATAACGTGGAAGTCCCACATCATTCGCCATTTTTATTGTTTTTCTCTCCCAAAACTCCCGTCAGTCAGTGTTTGTGTTCTCTAGAAAACGCCAGCAGTTGCGTCACTTCCAGCAGCATCTCACTGGATTGTACAGAGATTTTGAATACACCAATTCCATTGCTTTTCCTTTCGTTTTAGCTCCATCATGGGAAATGCCATGTTAAATGTTTGTTTATTTTTTACATTAGACTTTTATATTTATTTTATATTAATTTCTTACTTTTTTAGTATTAAACACTATTTATTCTCCATGAAATGTGATTTTGGTATGTCTAGATCAAATTAATTGGATTTACATTGATTCATATGGAAATAATTGCCTCGGTTTTCGTCGATTTTGGATTTCACTGGATTCTTTTCGGAAGGATTATCGACGAAAACCAAGGTATCACTGTATATGTTAGGATAAGATGGTCTAAAATATCAACGTACCTTTGGCTTTATTATTTACAAAGTAAAATTTTAAAGAACGTCCTTGTCATCAATGAGATTTTTTGGAAATTCTGATTGCACCTTACATGTCTACTGATAAACTGTTTTGTTTAGTTGGCTGACAAGTTAAAGTAACACTTACTGGACATATCTTGGATCTTTGTTGCAGATTGGGTATAGTTTGTTTAGAGTATCTTATTAAACATTAAATTAAATATGGGAAATATAATTTGTTATATTTAAGTTCAAGTCTATACATTTTAATAAACAATGTGTAATGTCTTATAAAAAATTTTATGAGCTTGCATTAATTATCTTTTTTGCTTAATCATTATTGCCTTTATTGTGTTTCAGGTCTTTATGAAAATAATTTGTAATACAAAAATTTGTATACCTTGTCATATAATTTAACTTAAATTTGAAATTCATAAAATTATTAGATTAAGAATTACATATGTATTTTATTTTGTTTTATTCACCTTACAGGGTGTTTCAGGGTTTTGCAGCTGTCAGTCTGGATGCGAAAATATCAAATGTGGATGTTGTGAGATATCTATAAGGAATACTTCTATGGGAAGATAATTTGTTACATACAACTGTACAGTACAAAAGTTAATAGTTGCTAAGCAACCATTTGTTTTTACTCATAGTTAATAAGAATAACAGCACATTTAAATTTTTATAATGTAAGCCGTGCCATTCTGTTTATGTAAATACCGATATATCGTGAGCGATACCAATACGATGACTAACGTATTGATCCAAAATCCGTCCACATGTTTGTTATTTATACTTTGTCGGTTGGCATTCAAATCAGAAACACGATTATTTTTCTCCTTTAAATAATCAATTTTTGAAATTCAATTTAGTTTGCTCTTAGATATTTTATATATTTATATAATAAACATCTTTTAAAATATTTTATTCTTTTTAAATGCATTTTTTAAAGATTAAGAAATTATATAGGGTAATGCAATTAGACAATTGATAACTGGATTGTCACATAGTCCAACATAACATTGCTTTCAACTCATTTCGTAGGCTCACAATTAAATACAGTATTACAGAAAGCAATTATTTTATAGATTGAATAAATTATTTCCAATATATTGACTTGGAGCCAATTTCTTGAACAAAATTGTTATTTTTTTTAATTGCACTGCCCTATATAATTAAATTTATGAAGCCAAGATTATGCCTTCTTAAATGATGATCATTTTATTTTGTAATGCTGCTACAATTTCAACTGATATATAATAATGTGCAAAATGATCAAAGTTTGATATTAAAATAAGTATTATGTTTAAAGCTATTAAGCAATTTATAATTTTTTTAAGCTTTTGAAAAGTCTTCATTAATTACTTCCAAACTATATCTGTATTCAATACCTTTAAAAACTGATTAAAATTTATGGTTATTATAATGTTATATTTTTATGAATAAATTCTAATCTGAAAAATTTTTTCTGTACTTTTTATACAAGAATGAACACAAATAAAAACATCTGCAATTTCTTTTGGGTGGAACATTTATTGATTTTTGCTGCTGAATGGATGTCTAACCAATATTAGTTTTTCCCCATATGTATTCTTGTAATAGTTAATAGGATCACCATTGAAATTCCAATCATTGTTTTCTTAAAAATAAATATCTTTATCAATGGTTTACAGTGAAAAAAACACTCTCTGTAATATTGCAAATTTGTTGTAAGTTTTTGGGTTTGGACAATTACAGGCAACATTTTAAAATCATTTTAACACTAAAAAATTATTAAAGCATGTATTTTTGGGTAAACTTAAGAATCATTCTCTGGTCTGTTTTATCATGATGGTCTAATGTGACTGTAAAAATAATTTTATATTAATTCACTTATGTGGATTTGCATTAAAAACAAATTTATAAACATATATGATACATTTAATTTACATGGTGAATATTTTTTCTTATAAAAAATATGCTTTTCCATGATTAATATATAGTATGATTAAATACAACAATATCACAAAGTTTGCTGAATGATGTTTTGATAGTTTGCGATAGATAAGAATTAGAAGGCAATCTCTCTAATACATCTGGTAGTTTGCCATCAGATTCTTTTAAAGAAAAATCTGAAATAACAAAGAACATTACATTAAAATTTAATGAAATTTAACAGTACCCTAAGCAGTTTAAAATTGCATAGTCAACTAAATCTACACACAAATTTTTGAATTATCCAGAGTTTAAAGAACTATAAAACAGGATAAAAATCCAATTATAACATACCTGGACAATATAACAAAACGCTGTTAATTACACAAGAATGAGACAAACACACTTTTCCTAATTGCAACAACAAAGTTGCCACGTCTTCACATAGTGGAGGAAAGGCTTTACACATTCTTACTAGTGCCGACAGAGCAGGAACAAATAAGACAGGATGCTGTTCACTTGGGATAACTAAACAGAAATTTTCTAAATTATCATAGTGATTTCATAATGAACAATCATTTGAATCTAAATTTTTAATATTCTTAGTAATCAGTTGTAAGTTTTATAAATGATCGTTAAAGTTTATATAATATTGTGAGAACCGAGGGGGCAGAGAATCAACTCTTCTCCACTTACTGGTGGCTTTATAGGAGGATAAAAATGTGAGTGGGGAGGACCGCGAGTAAGTTGATAGGGTGTCAGTTGTACTCAAGGATGACACATAATTAAACACGTTATTCTTAATCATCTAAAACTATACAAACAAGTACAAATCAAAAAGGCTACAAAAAGGGAATAATTCAAAAATACTTCTAAATCGCAACAAAGAATATATGGTCATCAATAAGTCGTCTAATTATCTAACTCTATAAGACATAATATTCTCTAAGTTCAAGCTATGATCAAGAGAGCAAGACGAGAAACGAAAAGGAGAGAGAGAGGATCACAATTTGGCTATGTGTTTACCTCATGGGTTCTGCTGTCATGGGAACGCACCGGATCGGCGGTCCTCTCCTTTCAATCAGGTCAAGTTCATTGAGAGACAGACGGTGATTATGGCAGGAGTTATGGCGGACAAAATGGTGGTATGGGTCTGATGTCTGCTGATGATGATGTCCTCTCAGCTGTGGATGTCTGTCATTGATGTCCGCTGAGGTGAAGATGTGACCCCTTTTTATACATGTCCCAGAGGGGGAAAATCTGATGCAATCGCATGTAAGTTCAACTTGCATCAAGAATTGTTTATTTTACAGGAATCAGGACTTTTATTGTCAGGAATCGAACTGTTCTTTAGATTTATTATGTTTTCTACTTGTTATTGTGACACTTTCTCATCATAAATTTGACAACAGCTGTCAAACCTACGGAATTAATTGCCACAGGTGGCTAAGGTCAGAGCATCTGCAGTGCCACCTGGGTGATGATTGTTTAATTGTGGGTCATTTGATATATTTTCTCATCATTTAATCGGACAGCATAAGGAGAGGGGGTGTTTTATTCAGTACGGTCTACCCTTGTCGGTGACCTTTTTGTTACCCTCTATCGTGTAACAAGTTGAGGTTCTCATTAATTGGCTACCGATTTGTACATTGAAACAAAGGTGGAAATGAGTAATCCCCCGTTGTGAGGGGAAAACTTCCTCGGTCGTCCTAAACGTCTTTGAAAGTCTAGAAGGTCACCCTTCGAAGTGACGCAAAAATTGAATCGATAAGAAAAATTTATCGAAGCTCGAAAAATTCACGCAAAAGCTCGAATTCTCACATTACAAACAAGCGCGAACTGTGCACTGTACGGTATCTTTGAACTTGGAGGAGCAACCATTCTGACGTCTCTATCGGTTTGATAATATTAGTGCTAGCAGTCTGAGGTACAGTAATATCTGGAAACTCTGTTTAGGTTTATTTGTTTTAAGGCAACAAGACACGTGAGACGACTGGGTGCCTCCCGGAAGACTTTCTAAGAGAAATTGTTCCCTATTTAGTTGCTACAAACCTGAAGAAAACTCGGAAAACTCCACGTGACCGGCCTGACGACAAGGCACGAACCCACGACCAACTATCTACCAGTGTTCAGTGGTTTTATCCCACTCGGCCACTGATGAATTCGGTTATAACGATTACGGAAAACTTTGTTTGATTTATAGTAAGGGAGTATTACACTATATGTCAAACTCGTTGAAATCCGAAAGGGGCTACTGAGCCTCTCCTTGTGAGAAGTAGAAAAACTTTCATTTAATTGTCGGACTTCATGAAAGATATGAATGAGAGTGCATCCCGGTGCGAAGAAAAATAAAAAACAGAGTGCTAATTGACGTATTTACATTGAAAAATTATCGAATAAGACAACCAAGTAAATCATTTGCTTAGTTGTTCTACATTATAATAAATAAAAATTCTCTTTTAATTAATATGAGGTTCGAAAATGCTGATCTTTCGAAAGTGTCGTCTGAGGCGACCGCCTCGCTGCTTCACCCTACGCGGCGGACCTGACTTTAAAATATCTAATGGATGCATTACATGCTTACTTGTGTATTTATTTCTACACTTATTGCCATAAAAATTAACGCACCAAAAAGGAGTTGGGTATCGCTCCGACTTGGCATGCAGATAAGTCTCGAGCAGATATGTAAATAATTAGATTTGTAACATGATGGTCGTTGCGTAATGCCAGCAGAGTGCACTAAAGCGCGTCCCCCTTGGCCTATAAAAATGCGCGCAAAGACATCCTATAGTTTATCTGTTGCAGAGGGACGCTGTATCACCAGAGACGATTTTACGTCACAATTGACGGCCATATGAACAACTAACTGACTTTCGAAGGGAAAAGGATCATGGGTTGAGAGAAGCCCGATGGTCATCTCGCCGAATAGCCCACCATCTAGGCCGTTCTGACAACATTGTGAGATGTCGGGGCCAGTGGACGAGAGAGAGCTCACACAAATGGTGCCCAGGCTCAGGACTTCCTCGGCAGACTACTAGCAGAGAGAACCGCCTGATCAAGCACGCCCACAACCGACCGTATCGTTGTCCTCCACCCGGATACAGATGGTGCCATCATTACAGGCACCTGTGTCTGTCTGTACCATTTCAAGGGTAGTGTCAATGGCAGTCATTAAATGTGCTGACATTGACACTACCCACTATCGCCTCCGTTTGGAGTGGTGTCGCTCCCGACGGAATTGGACTGCACGGAATGAAACCGCGTCATCTTCAGCGACAAATCCAGATTCACTTTGGATACTGACAACGACCGTGTTCGTGTCTGGAGACTCCGTGGTGAACGCCGGAATCCTGCTTACGCTTTGGAGCAACACGCCACTTCTTCAGCTGGTGTGATGGTCTGGGGTGCCATCACATCCGATCACCTTTAGTAGTGATCCTTGCGATATGTTAGTGACATCCTGCAGCCACATGTATTTCTTTTCCTGGCAGGGCTCTCGAGCCGTTTTCCAAGACAATGCTCGACCACACACAGAAGGATGTCACAGGATTGCTTCCGCCATATTGCAATTCTCTGGCCTGCTCGGTCCCCTGATTTGTCACCGGTCGAACATGTCTGGGATCACCTGGAATTGGACAGCTTATGAGTTTGGCCGAACTAGAAGACCGTTTGCAGCAACTGTGGACTGAGATGTCACAGGACACCATATGCTTCTATGTCCACACGTATCACGTCGTGTATACATGGTAGAGGTGGCTCAACAAGGTACTAGAACCTTCATTCATTTGTAGCTTTTCCTGCAATAAATGATCCATTTGCTTTTCATTTTCTAACATTTATATAAATAAGTTATATCACCGTTACATTCACACATGTACAATTTCGTTCGATTCAGCTGAAAATAGCCGAACTACAATAAAAACTAGCTTTTACTACACAATGTATAGTAATATATTTTCAATTCAGTAATTTTTAAATGATTAAAATTGTAATGCAAATCGAACTAAATAAATATCAATCAGTTCTCAATAAGGTGTACCTTTTTAATAAGGTGAAATATCCGATAAGGTGAACTATCAATATTTTAGCAATACGTATTTGCCATTTTCTGTAATGTAATGTAAAAAAAATGAAATAAAAACATTCTAATACTGTAATTTTCATTTAGTTACTCTCGTAAGTGCTTGCTTTCTGTAATAAAGTTCTCTACATCTGCAAATCCTTAATATTCGTTTAGCCATTTTTTTTTCCTGTTACCCGAAGAGGTAGATATGTATTCTATGTGAAATTTTATACTTTTCCAGATAATAAACGNATAATAATAATTTAAATATATCAAGAATCAGTGATGGAACAAGTATCGTGGCCCTAGTGCAAAAATTATTTATAGATCATATAAATTAACAAAATATAAACTTTGTGCTATGTGTTTGCATATATCCACACTGTATAATTTTATTAGTATTCAGTTTATTAGATTTACGTATCCCTAATAGTGGAAAATCTAGCTAAAAGTAAACAGTGGAGAGCACTGGGACTCAGGTCTTTGAAGACCCACTTACTTAATAAATTCCTTAGTAAAGAAAAATAATTTTCAAACATATCATATAAAAGTATGGAATTTTGTATATCAATTTGAATTTCTTCTGTGATATGGCAATATGTTCATCCATGTTATTTCTATTTTTGAATTTTTTGAAAAACTAGAGATTAAATTCTTTTGCTTTAGGATGAATGATTTTCATGAATTCTAATTAAAATATTAACAAACTCATATCTTTCAGCATCTGTTAATTATATCCACACTTTTGAGAACATTCAACTTATGCAGAAAATACTTGAAGTAATCACAAACATTAATGTAATTTAAAAAAAAAAAATTATGAAAAATGTTGGTAAGATTTTAATAAATATTAATATATGTTGTTTAAATTATTTATAAGATTTTATGATTTACATGTATTAATTTATTATAATTAAATAGTAGTTTACCTGAAAATGTACTAATTTAGCTAAATGAGGATCTGATATGAACACTTGATGTACATGAGAACAAATTAAACTTTGAACTTCACGTAATTCTGTTAAAAGGCCATTTTTTTCCTGAAACAGATTACAGACAATTTATTAAAAATTTTGTTTCCAAATATCCATCTAAAAATCCTTAAACAATTTCAATATTTTTCAATTATTTAAATATGCAATAAAATTTAACAATTTTGGTGGATAAGCTTATATATTCTTCTATTTTTATCACATAGTCTTATAATTAAATTAGAAAAATTACTCATTCTACAATAACATTTATTAATATGTATGCTATTATACATAGCTATGTGGAAGACAGTGATTAATAAATCATTGAGATCACTACCATTCTACATTTCTTGCTGCTTCATAATTTTCATAATAAAATTTATGAATTTAATGCTTACAATAAGATTATATATATATATAGTAGGTACAGCTTATTGTAATTGCAGATACCATCAGAAACAACATAACTTAAATAACTTTACAAAAAATGTTTTTCATAATCAGAAATTTTATATTTACCATTACATTATTAATGTAACTATAATTTGCTTAGATGATTAATAACAGCCAACTGACAAAGCAAATATGATTATAAGCCATAATACTCAATAAAAATATTAGCATAACAGTCTGAATCAATTTAAAACCATCCAATCATGTAATATATTCACTCTTAATAGATTGAAATGTTCATTATAATCTTGTACTCAGTACTGTAGTTTAGACTTCTGGCATTTGTTACCTCATTTATAGGCCATTCATTATTTGCTATCGTCAAAGACTACAATCTTCATTACTGTTTAATTAAAATACATCTTTGCATCTCTTATTTGCTTCTTTCATTAAGCTAAGATTTTTCCTCAAAAATAAAACTTGAAGTTTTAGAACACTATGATAAGTTGCAAAAATGAGTCAATTCAATGCAGAGTAAAAAATTTCACAGCCAATTTTATGCAAGATTTTGAAAAACAGAGTGAATATGAAAATTAAAAAATAAGAATTAAAATCACAAGAGAAACTTAATTGAAAAAATTATTAAGGTTTGTTTAACTTTGAGTTTTTATTTTCTTATTTTTTGTGAAAAAGATGAATATATTAATGGACCACTAATATGCCATAAAAGCAGCAGAATTAGTTAAAAATATGAGGAAAAAGTTTTATTGCAATCTATGGTTGATTCAACCTACAAGAAAATGAGAAAATATTGTGGACAAACACAATTCGTGATGAGAAGAAGAGTCTGAGAAAGTCATGAGATCAAGTATCCGAGAAAACTATTGAGAATTGTTTTTAAAATTTTAGTCTATTGAAGTTTTGTCTATTGAAGAGGAGATCATAAATAACACACCAGATGACATGTCAAAAGAAAAGTTTAAAAACTGGTTGGCTATTGCCAGGAAAATTCCACTGTCTGCTTTAATGGCATCATCAGAAATATGCCAAATTTTTACTGAAGAAGACTGAGAATTATCTGATAAAATTGAAGAAAATTAACATGAAGATAGTCTAGATTAGTGATGAGCTACCTTTTCTGGATGATGGCCACAAGTGAACTTTGAAGGCTTCAGCAGGTTACATGAAAACCTGCTGAATATCAACATACTCCATAACTGCCAGTACTCTAGGTACTAAAATAATACATGCTAACAATATAAAAACTAATAATACATAGCTTATTTTCATCTTTTCATTGGTCAACTTTAGTTTGAATATTCTTCATCATGAATATCAAATTAATTAGCGTTCAATATGGCTCAAGGTAGAAAACAGGAAATTACATTGCCAAATTCCCAGGGAGCCATATAGAACAATCATAAGCAACCTGTGCAAGACCTACAGGTCATTCATGACTGGTCTAGATCCTCCAACAAATATTCAGATGTGAGAAGCTCTGCAACTGCTTTATGATGTTGTACAGTACAGATATATTGTATTTTGAAAATATTATGAAAATGAATATTTTATTAATAAAGCATTGCTCAAAAATAGCCAGCAAACAATGCTGGATGAACTACTTAAGTAAAGTATTATTAGGGATGTCACATGTCCTATTTTCGGTAGGACAGTACAGTCTTACAATCACAACAAATGTCGTATGTCCTATATGAAAGCTTAATTGTCCTACTTTATATTTGTAAACAAATAAAAAACTTTTATGTTCAAAAATTAAATCATTTTAAAAAAAACACAAAGAACATTCAATTAATTTCTGAATGCACATATATATGCTGGATATTGTGAATACAATCAAAATCTTTGTTGACAACAATATTTTACTCCAACAATGAAAACTTTCATTTTACTACAAACTTCCATTTTTGACCCTGGTGGGAAGCACTGTAATCACCATTGGATTCTGTATAACTTATCAAAGCAGAATTGCTTACAACTATCTATTGTAAAAGCAGTTTGCATATAGTTTCTTGAAAAGGTACAGAATGATGTAGAACTATTGAAATGTGCAAAAAATGATAAAAAAATATAAGTTCAGATATAATGAATAAACAATATATATCTGTATATACAGCATTGTATTCAATTATTAATAATTATTACCTAAATTATATAGTGTTATGTTAAATTATTGTAACTGTCACCTAAATTTTTCTGAAATAAATCATAATTTTATTAATAATTTACTTGATTTTCTTTTTGGTTGTCAATTTGTCCTACATTGAGCATCTCAATATGTGGCAACCCTAAGTATTATTATAATTAATAAACTTTTGAGTTAATTATTAAATTTATTTTTAAACATTTTTAATTGTTTTAATATGTTTTTAAATTATCTGATTCAATAAAAGTAGAATTTCCACTGTGGTCTACTTACATTCACCACATAAAGTTATCACTCAGTTAACAGTATGGGCTAAGTATCAAAATGATTACAATAAGAATCCTACTGTACATGTGAGCACATGCATGTGTGTACATACACAGTTTTGTTTTTAATACTAAGAAAACTATGCAATAATAAACTACATACTATTTGTAACAACTTCTTATATAAAGAGCATAGTTTATTAGTGTATACTTTTCTTTAAGGAGTTCTCTTAAAGTGATCAAGCATTGTCCTTAAAGTGCTACATTTGGGTGAAAAGATATACAGTCCTCCCTATTCATGGCCAGCTCCCAACAGCACTGAATATTCCTCAGAGATCACTCAATGAATACCTAGTATTCATTGGACTTAGTTACTAAAAGAGAATGGATTATCTTCATACTTGTACAGACCATGACAGGTAGACTCTATGCAATAACAAATTTATAAATTTGATTATGAAATCTATGAAGCAGCATAAAGTTTAAGATGAAATAACAGATTTGTCTAATCATATTTAATAAATTTAAAAATTTACTTTATCTTCAGGAGATGGCCTACAGCATTCCAATAATATCTGCACAGCAGCACTTTCTTGGGATGCAACAAGGGCTGAGCGAAGTTCTTCTCGATTCTTATCGGTATCAACTTGATTCACTTTGTCTATTGACGGATGCTCTAACATGTGATGAGCCAAATGTGTGCGTGATGCAGCTAAAAAAGCTTGCAACATATGAAGAACAATTTCCAATAAGGGAGCACATCTAAAATTTATTTTAAAATAAAATTATAATCAATATCAAATTTACAAAGTAATCATAATTAAAGAGTAAGTGTTCAGAGTTCACTGTAAAAAGAACTTTTTCGCAAATTTCAGTCAAACTTAGTAAATATACTGTTGTGAGTATCCAGTTTTGAAAATTCCCCAAAAATCAGTACAATATGTATATCAAAAATGGTTGAAATTTGCCCAATGGTTCTTTCTACATAGAACTGTAAACACCTATTCTTTAATTATGATCACACTATACATAAATGAAATATATTTACAATACAAAAGAAATTAAATTTTAAAATGATTAAATTACCTAAATATTCTTTCATCACATCTTAAAACATGCAATGGATCTAAAACAATATTATCCAAGGTTAAGGGTTTAACTACCGTAGAAGGAAATCGAGGAGGTTGCAATGCATTAACTGTTATAAGCCAGAGACGACGAGGAAATACTCTATTTAATTTCCACCAAAGCCGCTTAGATTTTTCCAGAATTTCTCGAGGTACGTTGGGTTCAAGTAATTTTTGTAAATTATTCACAAAAGGTAGAGCAAATGGCCAAAGTTGATACAATGGCAAAGTTAATAGATATTCTAATTGCTGTAACAATTTATATGGACAATTTTGTACATTCTGGAAAGCTAAAAGCAAAATAAAAAAATTTCATCAGAATAAACAATCAAAACAATGCAAATAATCAAGAAAAATAATTTAATACAATCAGGACGAAAGATTTTAAATCTTTTTTGCAGTTCAATATTCAGAAAGATTCAATGATAAAAATGATAAAAACTAAGAAAAGTAAATGCTATACAGATTTACGTTGTTATAATATAATTAAAAATAAACAAATTGAAAATTACGATCATATTTTCAATTATAATTATATTTACTATTTTNCCAAACGTCTTTGAAAGTCCAGCCTTTCAAAGTGACATTGTAAATTGAATCAATGAGAAAAAATTATCGAAGCTCGGAAATTCACACAAGAGCTAGAATTCTCAATATTTTCTTCATACATAAATCTTATTATATGATTAACAAACTTGTAAATTAAACAGTCTTTTTTTAATTATTAACTTGTGAGAACATAAATTTTTATTAATAATAAAGCAACTTTTCTTGTTAAATTTAAGTAATACTTTATATCATTATAAAAACGTAATGCAGGATTTAATTTTATACTTTGGAAGAAAATTATGTCATGTAGACAGTCCTTGACTTTCAGAAATTCAACAACACATTTTTCACATGTTTTTGGCTGAAACAAAAATTTTGATCATTGTTATGCAGTGATGCATTCTGCCACTTTTGAATTTGGTGATATAGTAAAAATTAATTTTTGCAAATGATTTCTGTCTGTTTCCATTTCATCTATGGTTTAACAAGTTAAATAATTTTTATGCATTATAACATTCACTGTAAAACTCAAATCTTCCTCTGATTTTCAGCTCTTTGGGAACAGAACTCCAATAAGCCAAACAATTACCATATTACATCGGGCTATTTTTCTGCAATTATATTTAATTAATTTCTAAATACAGTGAGTGATCGGTTAACGAACAGTTTCTCAAAAGATTTTTATGTTTGGACAACGAACACCCCACAGAACAAACACAAGAAGAAGTGATGTAAAATAATGAATACCAATTGGTTTTCCCTTGTCTTCAGACAACAAATTTGAAAATTTTCGGAGCGCAGGAGACATCAACATCGATGCTCAACCTGGTATATACTGATCGGATAGTATTCCTCAAAACTTTGAAACTCTCCCTTGTAATTTCAGGCTTTTATTTTTCTGACAAACAATTTTTTTATAGTATTCGCAAGACTGTTAGGCAGGCAATCATTAAGTTTTGCATCAGTTTTTATTTTTGAAAGGTGAGAATATAATAGCAAAGGTAGAGAGTGGACAGATGTCAGTTGTTGCTGGGCAGTATGGCTTGAACAGGTCTACAGTAGGCCGCAGTTCAATCTTATCTAAGAAAGATATTGTATTATCAAGAAGACTCAAGTAGTTTAAGGAGTAACAAAAATCATATCTGAGAAATAAAGAACACTGAAGAGCTCATAATGGAACCTAAAATGGATCTGACGACAGAAGAACGCCATTTTTTTGAAGAAGTGGGAGGATGTCAGAATGATGGTCTTAGAATGGCATCCAAACCAGGTTGAGGTTAATAGACTTGGGGATATCTATGACGACAATGCTATTAATTCCGAAAAATGCTGAAGAGAGAAAAACAATTGACATTGGACAGATTCTTTAACCCCTACAAACGGAAAAAACACAACTAATAAAAATGCAAGATTGTGTATATATGTATTTTTATTATTACATATAAATGAACACAGTAAGAAAGTATGTATTTTTTTATTTTTCGGGGTCTCCAGAACAAATTAATCAAATTCACATAAAAACCTATGGTAAATCAATAATCGGTTAACGAACAATTCGGATAGTGAACAAAGTCTTGGAATGGATTATGCTCATTAACTGATCACCCACTGTAATTTGTCCTAGAGGGAGGCGTTAGGCACCATCTCTAGGACAAATTATTTAAAAATTAATTATAAAATAAAATAAATATAATCGTGGAAAAGTAGCCAGATTTAATCTGGTAGTTATTTAGTTTATTACAAATTTATATATTAATATAATAAATATAAATATAACTTTTTTACAAAGAAAAATTCTTTGTTTCAGTCATTTTTTCGTTGTTCGCACCATCAACAAAACGAAAAAATGACTGAAACAAAACATTTTTCTTTGTAAAAAAGTTGTATTTATATTTATTATATTAATATTAAATAATCGTTGGCCATGTAAACTTATTATTTTTACTTCAAATTTATCTAGTTTAGAGATGTTTGTATATGATTGGAACTGCCTTTATGATAAGTAACTCTGTATTACAGTCAAACGTGCAACAGTTGAACGATATTTTTAGGAATATATTGTCAAAATATATGCTGTCTCTATCTTTAATGTAGAGTATGGAAAATTTTGAAATTTTTTAATTCTATAAACCACATTTTTGGAATCCATGAATGTTTTTATTTTCTGCACTATTAAAAGCATTTAACTTAATTTCATATTTTTATCATTGTAATTATATCATAATTATATAATCAAGAACAGAAACATAAAATGTACACAGTAACTTACCTCCTAACAAAGTATGTGCCANTTTTTTTTTATATTTGGTCAATTCATATATTTTTAATTATTTCTATAGGATGTAACTGAGCTGTGCTAATATTCTAAGGGTAAATTCTAGGATCAAAAATAAGCCTAAAGTCCTGTATAAAAGTTTTTAAAATCCAATTTTGCAAATATGGCCTACCAAAACTTCCCACCTTATTTATTATATTTAAACCTCCCACCAAAAAGACGAGGTATTTATTTTCCACTTGTTTATTACCAACTCAATCTTTTTAATGTTGAAAATTGTTTTTCTGAATACATGTTAGCCAGTGTGCACAAGTCACTGATATCTGCAAAGGACATTTTGAGTAGTTCTTGTAAATTATTCTGTTTAATTTTGCAAAACACCAAAATGTTATTCAAAGTAAATTTACATTAAAAAACTCTTGTTTAACAACTATTCTTTTACTGTAAAACACATAATGCAAAATCTTAAAGTGGATAAGACTTAATATTTATTAGAGTAAGCCTTATTTTGACAACATTTTCTAACCTCAATCAGTTGATAGAAGCATAAAAATATACAACATTACTTTAAAAAGTTGACAACTCTAGTGTTTGTATATAGCAGACAAATTGAAAAGTATGTTTTTTGGAAGGCTGCAATCTGAAAACAAAGCAATTTTCAAAAATCTTTATAGAAGATTTTAGGCTTATTTTTGATCCTAGAATCTATTCCTAAAATAGTGTCATCAAGTTCAGTTACACCCAGTTATAACAATGTTTCAAATATAACATTTTTTAACCTTTTTGTTGGCCACTATATTGAACGGACAATATAATTACAAGTATCCCTCATATAACATGATAGTTACATTCTGAAAAAGGGCCATGTTATGTGAATCTGTGCTATACAAAACAAAGAACTAATGCAAAACGTAGGGTTACATTCCAGAAGTTAGCAAAAGTATACTATTCTTTTTATTACTAAGAGAAATACATTTATTAAAGCAATTGATAATTTATTTCCAATTAATAACTATCTAACAATTACAATTGAAAGTACTGTATTATGCATTAATATTAATTTTAGTTAAATGAAAGTGTTTTCTTTTTACACAATATCATCATCATCTCATCTTTTTTCTTCATCTCAATCAGAAGTATCAGAAAATTTTCATATTTTTATTTTTATCATAGAAAATTTTTTATAGATGACGAAATAAAAACACATTATTAATCAAAAATTTGTTCTAGTGGGTCACGTTTGTTCGAGTACCGAGTGACTTTTTCCCACAATTTGTGTTCGAACACTGAATTGTTGAGTACTAAGATACTGCTGTACTTCATTCATCATTTTTACTAATGAAGTAATCATTCATACGTAATTAATACTTATGATAAAAAAGACTAATAATAATAACACTTACCTAAAAATGTTTAAGCAAACTTTACTAAGTACAAAGATTAATCTATAAAAGAAAACACAGTGACAGTCTTAAGGGCTAAAATCTGAAAGTAATGATGACGACACCTGGTTGATAGGAAAGTTAGTGCAAATTTTTTCTTCCCTGTCCTATCAGTTAACTGCATTAAAGTAAACCTGACAAAATAATTTGAAAATTTCAATATTCTAAAGTCAGTAGCAAATTTGTAACAACATGCATACTTACTTAAATAAAAAAAAAATATATTGAATAACAAAGTTTACACTTAAAAATTGTGAAATTTTGTACAGAGGATTTCCAAAACCATGTTAGAGCAAAATCAGAAATCATGTTGTATGAGGGATATCCCCAATTTTCAAACTGTGTTAGAGTGAAACAGTGTTATAGAAGTACTGTNTATATTGAATAACAAAGTTTACACTTAAAAATTGTGAAATTTTGTACAGAGGATTTCCAAAACCATGTTAGAGCAAAATCAGAAATCATGTTGTATGAGGGATATCCCCAATTTTCAAACTGTGTTAGAGTGAAACAGTGTTATAGAAGTACTGTGTTGTACGAGGGATACCTATAATTTAACAATTTATATACAATTATTTATACCTTTGTCTAATGTTTCTTTAGTACATGGAGGCCATCTTCTCTTTCCTTGTATAGTAATAAAATCAGTACCCACTTTATTTCCTTCTTCTGCTAGCCATGATTCTACAAGACACAGATGTGGACAATTAGTTGCTAATAACCTCAATAATGGCGAAAATAATCCAGCATACATCTGCTGATCTTTCTGTGCTTGCTGTAATAAATAAAATATTGGTAACTGAGACATAAATTCGGATGTATATTTCTTAACTTTTCTTCCACACGATATGATCATTTTCATGTTTGAGAGACGAGTATCTTCATACAAAAGTAAATAATACAGCAGTAATAACTGAGATGTCAATGAAGCTGGTTTTTCTTCTTTATCGACATCCATAGCTTCAGAGTCAATTTGATTACCAATTTTTGGTGAAACATCATGGGGTATAAACACGGAATTTTTAAAAACTGATAAAATTTCTTCTTCGGTGATTGGTTCATTTGTAGTGTCATGTGTACCCTTTGAACTTGGTATAAGAACAGAATTAACATAAACTTCAATTAAAGCAGGAAGGACTGGATGGAGTGGCGGAACTGTATTGCATATTTGTTTATAAATCCAATCTTTAATAGGTACCTATTTCAAAAAATTTAACATTTTAAAGAATTATCTAAACTTAGAAATTTTAGTTTCAGAATATTACCTTATGCTTTGTAAATGCTCGGCTTTTTAGTAACTGATGTATGCAATGAACTGGAAGAAATCCAGATGTATTTCGACTCAGGTTTGGAGTTACTGGCACTTTCACAGCATGTGCAGTGACAATCTAAATAAAATGTATTATTTAAAGTTAAACTATAATCAATATAACATAAAAATATTTAAAATCTTTAATGATTATACAGTAAAACCTGCAAGAAGTGGAACTTCCCTAATATAGACACTTGTGAAAGCTAGAGAATTGCATTTATTTCAATACTATCATCAAATAATTTTCAGAAAATAGTCTGTCTAAGATAGAACATGTGAGACCCAAGTGACTACATGTGTTATGCTTCTGTTGTAACTTGCATTAGTTAGAACCTGTCATGGGCAGAGACTTAAACAAGTATTAAATTGAAAAGCCTAACGACAATAAATATAAAATTGATTCTATCAATATTTATTTTGCTTATATAATGATGAATTTTAGAAATATTTTAGTTAAATAATATAATTGACATTAACATATTCATAAATTGTTCAAAAGCATATCATACATGATTAAGATTTCTCTTGGCTGTACTTAAGCAAAAAATTTTTCAGTATGCAACAAATAAAAACTTTGCTCTATTCAATTTTGTCTGACTTCAGTAGAAACTTCAAAACATATTATTTTTTCTACCTTTGTCTGTTTTAATGCTATGTATTTCCTGGCCTAAGTTCACTCTGGTTTTAAAACAGCAAAGGATTGCTCTGTTTTTCTCAATTACTTTTTAATGTGTTAATCATTACAAAATAAAACATATTACCAAACATGTTGAATATTTCACTGTTAATTATGACTAAGACAAAAGGGGCACAACACAAAGGGACAAACACAGAAGGGGCTCAAGTGTCAAAGTTCAAACAAGATAGCCACCCAAGATAGCATCTAAAAGTCTATATTTTGTGAGAAATCAAAAATAAATTTTAGTTAAAACATGTGTGTTTTCTTTTTTCAGTTCAGAATATATACATGAATGTATATTTTATTTCATTGTCTTTTTTCTTTTATTTTGAGGTAACTTCAATGAATGTAAGAAATACTATGTCTAGATTGAAAATTAGTAAAAATTACATTCATATTTTGAAACAATGATGACTTTCTTATTTCAGACTGCCTAAGATAGAAAACTTGACTAAGCCTGAAAGCTTATAGAGTCTTCTTGCACAATTCTCCTTTCACAGATTCTACTGTAATAAGGAAACATAATGAACTTTTATTTTAAAATTGATTTTTAAAAAAATAACCATCAAAGAAGAAACTTTATTCTAGGCACTAAAAATTACCTCCCAACACTCAAACTCTATTATCTTCTTCTTTATTAACAACTTTCAGAGTGTTTATTTTAATTCCCTAGTATTTTTCAAACTTCTTGGCCCATCATCAATGATCAAATTACCAAAGAAACTTTGTGAAATCTGACAATATCACTCGGAATGTTATTGGTTCAAATTCAATGATGTTTGATTAAAACAGTTTGAATATGAAAGCTGATGACATTCTATCTGATATTTGTAAAGTTGACAAAGTTTCTTCAGTAATTTTATATTAATACCAATGAATACCAAACATTTCAAAGTACAGTGCAATCTCAGTAATCCAACCATTTGCTAGATTGACACATCCAATAATCTGACACTAATCAACTCTCAGGTACCAGTACACACTGATACCAAGTCACAGACAAGTTTCCCACTAGTTCAAACTCATTTCCTACTAAATTGTCCACCTTTCCATTAAATGTGATATGATATTGAGCCTGAGCTTGATCATGATATTAAAGATCATTACATTCATCATCTTAGGCTATTCAAAAATGGTACAAAATCTTGTAACACAATAATATATAAATGTAAAAATAAGTCTCTCAAAATTTTCCACTGAGAATACCTTACTGCTACTAAATTTCCTACTAATTTTAATGGAAATCATCTAATATGACAATACATAACACCAATACCATGTATGCTCAAATGATGAAACAGCAGAAGACAATTGAAAATTATCTTAAAATGACTGATGATTAATTTGAGAACTCTAAAATACAGTAACATAGATTGCTTTTTCATATATTCTTATTATTCTATATATGATTTTGATTAGTACAATGTACTCGTATCATGCAAATGAATAAATGTTTTCCCCCAAATGATTAAACCATTGAATTCACCTTAGTTCCAATAATCTGGCAATTTCCTTAATCCAGCATTGTTCTGATCCCATATATGTCAGATTACAGAGATTGTACTATACTTAACACTTCTGAAGATCTCTAATAAAAGTAGAAAATAAATAAATAATAATAGTGTATAAATTTATTATTTGTTAAATGGATATAACTATAAAAATTCTGAAAGACTTTTGTAAAATTTCATTTTGAACAAAATTTTCACAAATTTATTTAAAAATATCAAAATTCGTACCTGATCGGTGAATATTTCTTGGGTGAAAATTGTTTTCATTCGAACCAAATTATTAGAACGAATAGGAATTCTCATTCCTAAAGTAGAGCATACCAAATCTGCAATGGAATTGATCTGATTGCTATGAAAATGTATAGCAATTAACAGCAGCATTTCNCGTATCATGCAAATGAATAAATGTTTTCCCCCAAATGATTAAACCATTGAATTCACCTTAGTTCCAATAATCTGGCAATTTCCTTAATCCAGCATTGTTATGATCCCATATATGTCAGATTACAGAGATTGTACTATACTTAACACTTCTGAAGATCTCTAATAAAAGTAGAAAATAAATAAATAATAATAGTGTATAAATTTATTATTTGTTAAATGGATATAACTATAAAAATTCTGAAAGACTTTTGTAAAATTTCATTTTGAACAAAATTTTCACAAATTTATTTAAAAATATCAAAATTCGTACCTGATCGGTGAATATTTCTTGGGTGAAAATTGTTTTCATTCGAACCAAATTATTAGAACGAATAGGAATTCTCATTCCTAAAGTAGAGCATACCAAATCTGCAATGGAATTGATCTGATTGCTATGAAAATGTATAGCAATTAACAGCAGCATTTCACCAAATGATGCACTAACTCCACTTGTCCTAATTGTTTTAATATGTTTTTAAATTATTTGATTCAATAAAAGTAGAATTTCCACTGTGGTCTACTTACATTCACCACATAAAGTTATCACTCAGTTAACAGTATGGGCTAAGTATCAAAATGATTACAATAAGAATCCTACTGTACATGTGAGCACATGCATGTGTGTACATACACAGTTTTGTTTTTAATACTAAGAAAACTATGCAATAATAAACTACATACTATTTGTAACAACTTCTTATATAAAGAGCATAGTTTATTAGTGTATACTTTTCTTTAAGGAGTTCTCTTAAAGTGATCAAGCATTGTCCTTAAAGTGCTACATTTGGGTGAAAAGATATACAGTCCTCCCTATTCATGGCCAGCTCCCAACAGCACTGAATATTCCTCAGAGATCACTCAATGAATACCTAGTATTCATTGGACTTAGTTACTAAAAGAGAATGGATTATCTTCATACTTGTACAGACCATGACAGGTAGACTCTATGCAATAACAAATTTATAAATTTGATTATGAAATCTATGAAGCAGCATAAAGTTTAAGATGAAATAACAGATTTGTCTAATCATATTTAATAAATTTAAAAATTTACTTTATCTTCANATAATTATTTCTTAATTATAGTTTTTCTATTGTCAAAAAATTTTTAATTACTGTACAATTTTCAAAAAAAACTTTGTCTAAGTTATGCAAAGTCCGAGTTAGCAGGGTTTACTGTATTTTAACACAAAGAAACTCACATAAGATGCTGAAAGTAATATCCATCTGCATCTGTGAACATTTTTGTACATGTAATCATATTCAAACTGACATTGCATAAAATACTTGTCAACAGCCTCAATGCTTCAGTAAATGCCTTTTTAAATATCTTCTATAAAATTTGCCTCATTAACATTTCATAAAATTTTCCTGTAAAATTTACATCACTAACATTTCGTCATCTAAGTTAGACACCTGTAGAAAAATTCTACAGGTGTCTGAGTAATAAATGTGAAATGCTTTTTTGATTAAAAACAAAACTTATGAATAGTATTATTCATCACAAAAGTTGGTACCATTTCTGTATTTAAGCATTTCAAACTGCTTATTTAACAAAACCTAATTCTTTATTTTTCTTTCAAAAAACATTTTATACTTCTATCAAGTCATCCTCAGTTTCAACTAATGACTTTTAAAGAACTTCTCAGAAAAGACCAAACTGTATCATTACTATCATTCTATATACGGTTTTAAAATAACATTCTTTAGCATTTAAATTCACCATTTTACAAACTAGATTGCTCTTAAATTTTATAATATGTAATTTTAAAATTAATAAACACATTAAATACTAACATTGCAACTTTTTATAATTTAATTGTGATATAAACATAAGCCCTTTCTGAAATATTGCTTTTATAACTTATATCTTACAATCAATATACTACCCTTATTCTAATTCCTTTTGTATTCTTTTATCTAGTTTTTCTAGATTTATTTCATTTAACAGCATTTTCCAACTGTTTAGGAGCTCTACTGTGTCATTTTAGCCAAAAATTAAAAAATAATAATAATAATAAAGAATTTAATTTTCTTAAATAAGCAGTTTGAAGTGATTAAATGTAACATATAGTCTTTTCAAAGTGGTCCACAAAGTTTCAAGTCTATAATTTGATGTTAATTATATTAAACTGTTTGGGAGTAAGCACAAAATTGTTATGTAGAACATATAATCAAAAATTCAAATCAATCCAATTATTAATAATCAGTTGTGGATATAATAATCACAATTAAGAAAAAATGGCAAAGTTTTATCAAAACTGACTGATCAAATTTTGAGAATGAACGCAGTTTTGTATGCCACATAGAAGAGGCTTCACTAACACTCCACCGCGATGATACAAAATTTATTAATTCAATTTACATTAGATGAAAATCTGAATTATGCAATAGCATGATTAATATTATATAAGGAGAGAAAAAAAAATCACTTAACGCACCTGCTACAGAATATAGAATGTATCCAGTTAATTTGCTCATGTCAGGAACACATTAGACCAAGGGGGAAATGGATCAACATATGTTATACACATGGAAGCCATCTTAAATGCAATTCTGAAACTGTAAATGGAAAGGGAGTCATGTGACACATCATTTAGGGTCAGAATTTCACAAGTAATTAATTGCTGAAAGATTTTATTGACCTTCCTCAAATGGTTACAGAGTTATGCACATTACATGATGTGCTCAATGTATGTTCTTTGGATACATTGTATATTATGTAGCAGGAGTGTTAAGTAACTTTCTTTCCCACCCTATAGCATGATAATTAATGAAAAAAACCCAGAAGTATTTTAGGTACTAAATTATCAGAACACATGCAATCAATTAAATATGGTTATGTAAACTTGGCAGTGGCTATGCATCATCAACAAATATGGCTGTGAAATAAATAAAACATCAATTAAAATATTAAAAAATGAAAATTATTTGATAGACAATATTATGAGCATTTAAGAATAGTATATGTTAATGAAAAATACAGAATAAATAAGAAAGAAGGAAGAGTAAATCCTGGTTGTCATTTTTACCCAAAAGAGGGAGGAATAATTTTCTTTTTAGATATTGTAGGTGTGTGTTTTTTAAACTGGTGATTGATATATAATTAAAATGTTCATAATGGACTTAAATTATATTAATTTAGGCCTCTTTATAATGTAATCATCATAGTACTGCACAGTGTAGGTGGAAATAAATCTTGAACAGGTTAGTTTGTAAATTGGTATTATATGTATACATTTATAGATTTTTTTTAAACTGTTTTTTAAAATTATTTTAGGTAAAAATTTTAAATTGTAGATTGTAATTAATATCAATTTCTCTGTGAATTTGTTCTACAACAGGTTAGTTTTGAGAAATTTTCGTTTGTAATGGAATATTAGACTTTTTGGGTTATTTCAATTGTATGTAAACATAATATTTTTTGTTGTAGAAATCTATATATTTTTATGTATGGCTGATGAGGGTTTTGTGTACAGAAATGCATTCTGTTGATAGAAGTGTCATTTCAATGTTACCAGTAGTAGCATGATAAGTTTTTGTTATCTCTACTATAGTATTTTAGATATTAGTTTCAACAATTTTTGAGACAAGAAGCTCTTTTATAATACAATGATAAATAATGTTTATTCATATAACTACTGTTATAAATTAAATATTCTGAAAAACAATCAATTACCTTCCAAAATAACTTTCTTCTTTCACCAACCACTGAATCCACTTTTTGCTTCGGTTTTCATGTTCAACAGTATTAAGAAGAGATGGACAAGCCATCAACATGCAGAGTCCTAAAGATACAAATCTTATTCCTGCTGGACTAGGAGGAGGATGTGATGTCAACAATTCCAATAATAAATTGATTTCGTCTTCATTAAACCTTTTGAAAAACAATCACATTTTAATAAAAAACTTAAATTATTGATTATAAAGTAATCAAGATTTGTACTATTGATACAACTATTGTTACTAAAACAACTTAATTCTATTTAAGATTTGTTCATTATCAAATCTCAAGTAGATTCTAACTAAAAAATTATCAAATTAAAGATTTGTGGCCTTTAAGTAATACCAGTTTAATCTAAATGATAAAGACTGAAAAAAGCTAGAGTATCACTGAATTATTTAAAATAAAAAAATTATATAACATTAATTTATTTAATATAACATCTGNATTATTAAAATAAAAGAAGGAATTAATCTTAAAACTTTTTATTGAAAAAATGTAATTATAAGGCATCTAAATAATTAAAAATAGATCACACCATCTCAGTGTTGTTCCACTTCACACGTGGCACATTTAATAATTATACGACTTTTTAAATCTTCTGAAACCATGTTGTCTTAATTTCTTTGATTCACTAACACAAGGTGTGTTTCTATTTCAACACTTGGTGGTATTCCATCTTTATTTAGTTGATCAATTAAATAAAGATGGAATACCGCCAAGTATTGAAATAGAAACACACCTTGTGTTAGTGAATCAAAAAAAAAAATTATATGACTGTTTCTTGAAGACATTTTTACACATTCTTGACAGATGAATTTTGTTTTACTATTCTTGTCATCTATAAAAAAGTCATTGTCTAATTAGCCAATTATTTGGACTCACTGTCCTGATTATCTTCTACAATCTCCCCAATCAGTCTCTTCTGGCTCTTCTCTTTTTCCTATCAATATCCTGACAACACATTCTAAAGCATCATTCAATTCTTTCTGGATCAAAGCTATAAGAGTGTGAAACATCACAAAAATCTAGACATCCTGAAAGCTGGTATATTTTCAAACTAATATAAGTCTAAAAATTTATTGAAACCTATGATGTTGTTAAACTAAAGATATATATGCAATAGATATGCAAAAAGTAAGCAACTGTTTCAAATAAATTTAAAAAATACATAAAGTAAGCCTAAGTTATATTTACATTGCAAGGCATGTAGTGGCAATACACTGCAAATACCATATCACCCTAATTCAAAACAAACAAAACACCTGTACCAGCATATATAAGCTGATTCAAGTGTTTTTGTCTGTGTTTTGAATATTCTGGTTTCAGATCATTAATTATTATAGTGCACATAATGCAAATTTCTTATCAATTACACAGAAGTCACCACATAAAATTTAACCTTTAAAGCCTCCCTCTCAAATATATATTCATGCATTAATTTTATTTACCACTTTTACATTGTGTTGATATTTTATAAGAATTTCAGTGTAATTTTTACGTTATTGTTCATAGACATTAAATCACATTCAACCAATATATTAATTTCCTTTTTTAAATCTTGAATGTATTGAAACAGAATCGTTCTATTTGTTTAGATTGACAACTGAACCAGATTCATCAATTTAGATCAAAAATATTTTTGTTTTACCAAATTTATTGCTGGAGATTACAAAGTATTTTTATTCAATTGTTGTGATATCAGAACAGGTTATTGGTCCTGATGAATGTACCCTCTGCATTTTCACCACAAACCGTATTGAAAACTATTCCATGCCACTTAAATTAATCCAGACTCCTACTGTTTGCTTTGAATCCAGTAAGTTCAAACTGTTGTCTGAACTGTTCTGCTTTTTCTCTATTTTTAGTTCTCTCTTGTTTACCATTTCTAAGTATTATGAAATGAAAAAGGTCAATACACTGATTAGCTGATCACTTTCAACAAGAAAAATGTCAACATACAATTCAATTATAGTGAAATTTTTACAGTATGGATATTTCGTTTCAAATAAGGAGATACATGTAGACAAACCCATAAATCTGAATGACCAAATCTCAATAGGTTATCAAACTACAGATGTTTGTTATACAGTGGTACCTCAGGTTACGAACGCCCCAGCATACGAAATTTTCAGGATACGACATGAAATTCGAACATAGTTTTGCTCCACGATACGAACAAAAACTCACCATATGACGTTACATTAGTTCGCATTTTTTATTTGTTTTTCTTACTACAGTTATTTTTTTAATGTATTACTTGGCTTTAATTTGAGTATGTTTTTCGCGTTGGGACGAATTATTTGGTTTTACATGTAATCGTATGGGAAAAGATGATTCACCTTACAACATTTTCATGATACGATCTCAGTTTCGGAACGGATTAATTTTGTATCCTGAGGTACTGTACCACTGTATTTTAAAATTTTCAAAATTTAGAAATAATAATTTTAAAGTACCAAGATTTGATTGGTTAATTTGCATTTAAGAATAACTACTTGTTAATGTAGCCTGGATTGGTCAATTTCACAGACTTATCATTATGTACAAAACATTGTTAAAATTTTGAATTCTATGTCATGCAATCAGAGGTGTAATTACATACAATAATAATCTTTGACTTTATATCATCGTCATAATCTATTCCCTTGAAAACACAAATAAAAATCACATAAAATTAAACATGAATAAAGTCTCTAGATCTTAAATTTCAAGTTAACAAAGTTTGACTTATCAAAAGTACTACCATATATTCCATGTTACAATGTGTATTTTAAATATGTATTCTATATCATGTTTAAATAAATTTCAGAGATTACATCAGATAAAATGATACAGAAAAATTACATAGCTATTTACACAATCATCTTTTAATAAAAAATTATAGAACTTGGAATGCATTTAAACATGCATTATAAAAGAATAATTAATAAAATTATAAGGTAAGATCACACCATCTCAGTGTTGTTCCACTTCACACGTGGCACATTTAATAATTATACGACTTTTTAAATCTTCTGAAACCATGTTGTCTTAATTTCTTTNTCATCATAATAAAAATTTCTTCTTTAATATACTTTTCTGTTTGTCAAAATGAAAATGATATAAAAAATATAAAAACTTGATACATACTTTAATCCAGCTATTCCTCGTAAAGCACAATATAACCTTAATAAAGCACTAGCTTGAACTACTTTGCAATCAGGTAAATTATGCTGATCGATGCTAAACAATACAAGATTTTGTAGTCGCTGCAATAATTCTTCACGTAACTGATGCAATGTTGAGCTTCCTTCTTCAGTTCTCTAATTATAAAATTCAGGAGTGATTCAATAAAATTAATATTTCCAATTATGTTTATAGTTAAAACTTTAAAACAATGTATAATACATTTTCCATTCCAGATGTAACTTTATCAACTTCTTAATTAAGCTAATAAAATTTGTTTTCAATCTTTTGAATTTATCAATTGAATATAAACAAGTTAATCTAAAACAGATATTTTTGACATTTAATGAATCATTTATATTTGAAATTAAACCATGAATTACATAAATATTGATAATTATTTTTAAAATATATTAAACTATAGTTTTTATGCATTCTGTTTAAATATATAGGTTTGTCACATCATATGGTACTGACAGCTATTCAGAAATTATTGGCAAAGAAGCTTTTAACTTTCAAGATGTAAATATTGAAATCAGAATTTAGAGAAGAGTGTAGTATTAGTTATTAATTTTCACTCTTTCACACTGCATCTAAAATATAAAAAACAATATTAACTTAATAGAAATCTGATTACTTAATATTTTATCATGTTTTGCCTTTTTATTATTTTTAATCTAGTTGTGAACTGCCTACAGAATAATGTCTACAGTTCATCAAGAATAATGTTTTAAAATCAGATATAGTAGTCCCTCAATTTAACAGACTAATTGGTAGGTGTCTACTATTGACCTATTATAATGTATTTTTATGTGCACAACTGCTGTAAAATTCAATTTCTGCAAAATAAAAAGTATGATGGCAAAAAGATTGCTTAACATTAACTAAATGGGAATAAATAACAATGATATTTTTGGCAAAAATATTACAGAACTCTATTTCTAACACACACAGTTTGTCTGTAACCAAAACATTATCATAAAAATTAATACAGCAATTTGTATTTTATATTAAATGTAAGAAAACACAAAAATATCAAAGTGATACTTTAATTTTATATAATTCCTAATTTAATTAAGGCAGCGTCATATTCAGATTTAAGGGAACTTTAGTAATAAGATATGAAATAAAGCAGTAATTCTTGTTTTTTCTATTTTTGTACAAATGCAATGTTAAATTAAATAAATAAATTTTATATGTTCCCATATTTCGAAACCATGTTGTATCTTTATATTTGTTTAAAAAACTGCAATGTAGCACAGTAATCAACACATGGCATAACTCATTCATTTATTCAAGCTTTTGTTGATCTGTTTAAAAACTGCAATGTAGCACAGTAATCAACACATGGCATAACTCATTCATTTATTCCAGCTTTTTGTTGAGACGTGTTTCTACACACGTTTCGGGCTCCGTTTTTGCCCCTCCTCTTATTTTTGTTGTTTTTTAATTCATATGTCGGGTTATAATATGTATATAATTAGTTTTTATATGTTTTAGTTGACTGAGGAGGGGCAAAAATGGAAACTCATTAGAGGTCCTCCCAGATACTTAAGAAAACCTAAGTAAATGAGTATGTAAGGATAAATTTGGAATATCGTCTAATACTCAGGTTCAACTAAAAACTGAGTTCTTCTGGGGTATTTTTATATGAAAAATTTTTCAGAGGAAGGTATAGTGATACAAACAACCGTGAAAAAATAGAGCAACTAAAATCTGCGAAGTGTGGCAAATTTGTTTAGGTAAGAACTGTTTACCTTTATGTTATAATAGTAAACTATTAATAGAAAGAAAGCTTAATATTAATTGTACATAAAATAGTATTAATATTCCAACACTAACGAATAAGATACAAAGAGGATAAAGACAGAAGAAATATAAGGAACATACGGAAAAAGAAGAACTCTGCCACATGTCCATTGTAATCCTTTGTGACACTTCAAGAACTCTACTGTGACTAAGTATGTAAGAAAAAATCCTGTATATTGTTAATACCTACATGTTGAGTACACTAATTGTGTTGTTTTTATGGTCTTTAAAGTATAGTAGAATTTAGATAAGACAGTCTGTGTCTGAAACGTGAAAAAGTGAGATTGGGTCTTCAAACTGATATCTGAAATAATCAAGTATATAGAGTATGATTCCTGTTCAAGGAAAAAATACATACAGAGAAGGAATTTATTTAAAAAATGGTATGTTAGGTCTTACTTGTATATACCAACGAAATATATTTTTATTTTTGTTGTTTTTTAATTCATATGTCGGGTTATAATATGTATATAATTAGTTTTTATATGTTTTAGTTGACTGAGGAGGGGCAAAAACGGAGCCCGAAACGTGTGTAGAAACGCGTCTCAACAAAAAGCTGGAATAAATGAATGAGTTATGCCATGTGTTGATTAATGTGCTACATTGCAGTTTTTTAAACAAAATTTTATATGTCTAAACAATCATACATTAAGCTAAAAAGCAGTTATTCATAAAATATTTTATGTATGATATTAGTGTTTCTGTAAATTCTGATAGCTAGATTCTCACAAAACTCTTGTATTCATATTCAATGAATAAATAAATTTTAATTAAGGTAATAACAAATCAAAAATCAAATATATGCAGAATATTTTTAAAACTATTTCTATAACCAAACAAAAGATATATTTTATAAATATCAATTATAATTACGGGGTATTAATTGATTATATTGAATATTTTAAATTTCATAACTTAAAATACTACTTACCTTCTGACAATTTCGAACATACTGAGCAAACCAGGACCTGACTTTATCATCACTTCCAAGCAGAAGTCCACTAATAAATGCAACTAAATCACCCACAATTGTATTAAAATCTGTTGTATCACCATGTTCGTGACGACAATGGTCTAATGTTAACTGGACAGCCAAGCCTGGCATGCAACACATTTCGACCTATTTTTAATTATAACAAATTAAAACTTGTTAAAATTCTTATAAAACAAAATAAACAAAGAAAAATGGCTTTAATAGTTAATAAATAATTAAATATAAAAACTTTTCTAATGAATTTTCTTAATTTTAATAGACATATAAAAAACATACTGTTTTTGCACGAATTGTTAATGCCTGTGACATGTTCATCTGACACAGCATACGTAAAGTCTGCATTCTTATTCTTCCACCAACAGTTTCTTCATCTTGTTTCTCTCCATTTGAAATTAAACCGAAACAAACTGAAAAAAATTATATTATGAGTATAAAACAATTTATTAAAAAATCTGAATTTTGATATAAATATACTGTTGATTCTCAATTTTATGGAACCTGACATAATTAATTTTGGAACCAACAGACTAAATATCTGTCAGAGTGGAAATATAATATTTGAGAATATAAGACTGTGACTGTTAATGTATGAATTGTTTCACAAACTAAAATTCTTCCTGGACTAATTTTTATGGTAAATTTTTAAAGTAACAAAAATGTATACCCGATGACTCAATTCACCAAGCTTATAATAATTTCAAATCTTATTTCTTTTAAATTCAACATCACACTTTATATTCCTCTTTAAAATGAGATTCATTTTCCTCAACTGGCATGTCCTTTTCTTTTGAGACTGTTAAGAAAGCTATTACAGACTTCTTCAACTCTTGAGGCATCCCTGACCACATCTCTGCTATTTTTTATTCTAGTGTCTCCCCAATTGTTGCTGCTGATTTATCCCTTCTTTTCTCTGAAATAATTAGAATGACAATTATCCCAGATCAAATTTTCACACTTCTTAAAAAGATGTTTAATATTTCAGAGCTTAACAAAATTTACCTTCTATTTAATAAACTTTCCAATTTGCTTTTCACCAATTCTAGAGAAGTTGCCAGGACCAGACTAGAAGCTCCATTCTTTATCTCATTGTATTGAATCTTCTTCTTCTTGGTGCCATATCAGATTCCTGACGTTGGCGACACCTGGCGTAGGTTTGTAATCCTCCAAGGTGTATACTAGGGAAAGTTACTACCCAGAGTGGTTTCCCGTTGCCTTCTCTGGGGCGCGATGTTACGCGAGGGGAACTAATGCCTTCCGGGAGGACTTTTATGGGGAACTGGCCTCCTATTTAGTCGTTATTGGCAAGGAGAAAACCCGGAAAACTCCAAGCAGCCAGCCTGTCCGATCGCGGCGCGAACCCACGACCGAACTCCCAGTGTTTAGGGTACGAAGACCACTCGGCCACTGGTGGGCTGTATTGAATATTTCAAGACTTTTTATAAATTTTTTTTATGGATTATTGCCACCTGATAAATTAGATTTAAGAATTCCTACATGTATAACTAGAAATGACAAGTACAGTAATTTATTATGATCTGTTCTTTACAGAAGTTTTACTGATCTTTAGTACCTTTATACTGTTAAATTTACTATTACAAAAAATGAGCTCAAAAGATTTCATGACAGCACAGTATACAACAATGTACAGTCTTTAATAATTTACCAACTACAGTAATATAATGCATGGTATCACAAAGATGTCTGGATATCAAAAACATTCAATTATAAATTTGTTATAATTATTTCTTAATTATAGTTTTTCTATTGTCAAAAAATTTTTAATTACTGTACAATTTTCAAAAAAAACTTTGTCTAAGTTATGCAAAGTCCGAGTTAGCAGGGTTTACTGTATTTTAACACAAAGAAACTCACATAAGATGCTGAAAGTAATATCCATCTGCATCTGTGAACATTTTTGTACATGTAATCATATTCAAACTGACATTGCATAAAATACTTGTCAACAGCCTCAATGCTTCAGTAAATGCCTTTTTAAATATCTTCTATAAAATTTGCCTCATTAACATTTCATAAAATTTTCCTGTAAAATTTACATCACTAACATTTCGTCATCTAAGTTAGACACCTGTAGAAAAATTCTACAGGTGTCTGAGTAATAAATGTGAAATGCTTTTTTGATTAAAAACAAAACTTATGAATAGTATTATTCATCACAAAAGTTGGTACCATTTCTGTATTTAAGCATTTCAAACTGCTTATTTAACAAAACCTAATTCTTTATTTTTCTTTCAAAAAACATTTTATACTTCTATCAAGTCATCCTCAGTTTCAACTAATGACTTTTAAAGAACTTCTCAGAAAAGACCAAACTGTATCATTACTATCATTCTATATACGGTTTTAAAATAACATTCTTTAGCATTTAAATTCACCATTTTACAAACTAGATTGCTCTTAAATTTTATAATATGTAATTTTAAAATTAATAAACACATTAAATACTAACATTGCAACTTTTTATAATTTAATTGTGATATAAACATAAGCCCTTTCTGAAATATTGCTTTTATAACTTATATCTTACAATCAATATACTACCCTTATTCTAATTCCTTTTGTATTCTTTTATCTAGTTTTTCTAGATTTATTTCATTTAACAGCATTTTCCAACTGTTTAGGAGCTCTACTGTGTCATTTTAGCCAAAAATTAAAAAATAATAATAATAATAAAGAATTTAATTTTCTTAAATAAGCAGTTTGAAGTGATTAAATGTAACATATAGTCTTTTCAAAGTGGTCCACAAAGTTTCAAGTCTATAATTTGATGTTAATTATATTAAACTGTTTGGGAGTAAGCACAAAATTGTTATGTAGAACATATCACACAGGAACACTTTTTGATAAAAAATGTAGAATTTATTTTGTACAACAGAAATGCATTTCAGGCTATTTGACACTCTTCAGTCCTTACTGTACAATTTGATAAAAGTAAACTTTCTTTAGCAAGTTTTAACTTTTGTTTTACAGTTTTACCACTGTTATTTTAAAATATTTAGTTACTCCAACAGTCAGTATTAAAAATTATTTCTGTTTTATCATAAGTTCTATGTACCAATTTTCTGCTTACTCCCAAAGAACAATAAAGAGAACAAGAAGCAATCAAATACTATATTAAACTGTTTCATGTGTATAGTACCTTCTCTAAAACAATCAGGAGAATTTGCAACCAATCGGCATAGTAATCCTGGTCCATTCTTCACACGTATTAAAGCTTCAGCAATATCAGTAATTTGTAAAAGTCCTGGTAATTCTAAAGAACAAATAAGCATTTGTTGTACAAATTGATATTATTTAAATTTATAAATTTCATTGGATGTAATTAAATTATGCAAAATTTTTGAAACTTTTAAATTCGCATACTGCTTATAATCAGGCTATAAGTCTACTAAAAAAAATACAATTATAATTATTAATTTAATTACAAGATGGTGCCGAATGTCTATCTCTCGTAGCAAATTACCTAGTATTAATTATTAAATTTAGCAGAGTTATAGCCCAATTATTTAGACAATCATTTGGTGATGTAATTTATATTTTAGTGATTCAACGGTCTTCGTTTATGTAAGAATATGTTGAATAACAACATAAGGGCAAGAAACACAGTTATTAAAAATTACAGCTATCTTACTATGCAAACAATAACTGAAGCATGCAACAACATAACATAGTAAATGTCGTTTTTCTCTATATACACTTTATTGAAGAATTGAATTCTAAATGCAATGTTTTCTGCTACAAAAGATATTATGGCAATATTGGCACTGTATCTGTATTTTAAAGTTGAATTTATGTAAAGCCGTGATGTTTAAAGCACCAAAGGGCAAGTCGATGACTTTGGTACTTAAAACATTACAGTTTATATTTACATCATTTTCATATTCTAAAGAATTTGTACCTTGTGAGTTTTTACCATTTTGTTGTAAAATTGAAATGAATCATTCACTAGAAAAAGTGTTTTCTACCTCTCCTGAAAACTTTGTTTTTTGGCATTTACAACATTATGGCATTGCACGCTTCAATTATGTTTTCAGATAAATTTGGCAATAAAAGACAAAAAACATCTAAAATTCATGTCCTACTCACTGATCTTATAATAAAAGAAAGATATATCCAATTCAAACTACTTTCTTTGGAGCAATAACTTTTTAGAAAACTTGAGTGATTTTGATTATATGACCATTGTTAGAATTAAGAAATTCTTCTCCAGTTGAGTATTGACAATATGCACACAGATCAAAAGTATTTAAGTTTTCTAAAAATTTATTGTTTTGAGAAAAACAATTTGAATTAACTTACATTTGAGTGTTTCTTTAATAAATATGCTAAAAGACTTATAATCAATACATGAATGATACTAGAATATATCTCGTTAAAAAAACACAAAATAATACCAAACTAGATTTAAAGTCAGAAGTTAAAAAATTAAAATTTTTGATATTGTATCAAATAAAGATTGTCTGAAAATTTCTTTGGATTTTGCCCTTCAGTAAGCATGTCTTTTAGAGTTTTGTGAGAAAGATCTTTGCAACTATTACACCAAATCCATAATATTGCTTTATATCCTCCAATAGTTTATTATTTTTTTTATTATTATTAAAATAAAAGAAGGAATTAATCTTAAAACTTTTTATTGAAAAAATGTAATTATAAGGCATCTAAATAATTAAAAATAGATCACACCATCTCAGTGTTGTTCCACTTCACACGTGGCACATTTAATAATTATACGACTTTTTAAATCTTCTGAAACCATGTTGTCTTAATTTCTTTGATTCACTAACACAAGGTGTGTTTCTATTTCAACACTTGGTGGTATTCCATCTTTATTTAGTTGATCAATTAAATAAAGATGGAATACCGCCAAGTATTGAAATAGAAACACACCTTGTGTTAGTGAATCAAAAAAAAAAATTATATGACTGTTTCTTGAAGACATTTTTACACATTCTTGACAGATGAATTTTGTTTTACTATTCTTGTCATCTATAAAAAAGTCATTGTCTAATTAGCCAATTATTTGGACTCACTGTCCTGATTATCTTCTACAATCTCCCCAATCAGTCTCTTCTGGCTCTTCTCTTTTTCCTATCAATATCCTGACAACACATTCTAAAGCATCATTCAATTCTTTCTGGATCAAAGCTATAAGAGTGTGAAACATCACAAAAATCTAGACATCCTGAAAGCTGGTATATTTTCAAACTAATATAAGTCTAAAAATTTATTGAAACCTATGATGTTGTTAAACTAAAGATATATATGCAATAGATATGCAAAAAGTAAGCAACTGTTTCAAATAAATTTAAAAAATACATAAAGTAAGCCTAAGTTATATTTACATTGCAAGGCATGTAGTGGCAATACACTGCAAATACCATATCACCCTAATTCAAAACAAACAAAACACCTGTACCAGCATATATAAGCTGATTCAAGTGTTTTTGTCTGTGTTTTGAATATTCTGGTTTCAGATCATTAATTATTATAGTGCACATAATGCAAATTTCTTATCAATTACACAGAAGTCACCACATAAAATTTAACCTTTAAAGCCTCCCTCTCAAATATATATTCATGCATTAATTTTATTTACCACTTTTACATTGTGTTGATATTTTATAAGAATTTCAGTGTAATTTTTACGTTATTGTTCATAGACATTAAATCACATTCAACCAATATATTAATTTCCTTTTTTAAATCTTGAATGTATTGAAACAGAATCGTTCTATTTGTTTAGATTGACAACTGAACCAGATTCATCAATTTAGATCAAAAATATTTTTGTTTTACCAAATTTATTGCTGGAGATTACAAAGTATTTTTATTCAATTGTTGTGATATCAGAACAGGTTATTGGTCCTGATGAATGTACCCTCTGCATTTTCACCACAAACCGTATTGAAAACTATTCCATGCCACTTAAATTAATCCAGACTCCTACTGTTTGCTTTGAATCCAGTAAGTTCAAACTGTTGTCTGAACTGTTCTGCTTTTTCTCTATTTTTAGTTCTCTCTTGTTTACCATTTCTAAGTATTATGAAATGAAAAAGGTCAATACACTGATTAGCTGATCACTTTCAACAAGAAAAATGTCAACATACAATTCAATTATAGTGAAATTTTTACAGTATGGATATTTCGTTTCAAATAAGGAGATACATGTAGACAAACCCATAAATCTGAATGACCAAATCTCAATAGGTTATCAAACTACAGATGTTTGTTATACAGTGGTACCTCAGGTTACGAACGCCCCAGCATACGAAATTTTCAGGATACGACATGAAATTCGAACATAGTTTTGCTCCACGATACGAACAAAAACTCACCATATGACGTTACATTAGTTCGCATTTTTTATTTGTTTTTCTTACTACAGTTATTTTTTTAATGTATTACTTGGCTTTAATTTGAGTATGTTTTTCGCGTTGGGACGAATTATTTGGTTTTACATGTAATCGTATGGGAAAAGATGATTCACCTTACAACATTTTCATGATACGATCTCAGTTTCGGAACGGATTAATTTTGTATCCTGAGGTACTGTACCACTGTATTTTAAAATTTTCAAAATTTAGAAATAATAATTTTAAAGTACCAAGATTTGATTGGTTAATTTGCATTTAAGAATAACTACTTGTTAATGTAGCCTGGATTGGTCAATTTCACAGACTTATCATTATGTACAAAACATTGTTAAAATTTTGAATTCTATGTCATGCAATCAGAGGTGTAATTACATACAATAATAATCTTTGACTTTATATCATCGTCATAATCTATTCCCTTGAAAACACAAATAAAAATCACATAAAATTAAACATGAATAAAGTCTCTAGATCTTAAATTTCAAGTTAACAAAGTTTGACTTATCAAAAGTACTACCATATATTCCATGTTACAATGTGTATTTTAAATATGTATTCTATATCATGTTTAAATAAATTTCAGAGATTACATCAGATAAAATGATACAGAAAAATTACATAGCTATTTACACAATCATCTTTTAATAAAAAATTATAGAACTTGGAATGCATTTAAACATGCATTATAAAAGAATAATTAATAAAATTATAAGGTAATATAGATATGAATAAAAGATAACAACCTATTAATTATCTTTACTGTAATCATCTAATCTAATTTCAAAAATTAAAAGTTCATTCAGTGAGTTTATTAATAAAATTTATTTTTAATTAATATCCATATTGAAACATTTTGAATTTTAATTTAATTATAAAACCAATAATAATTCAAACTTACGTGATAGAATGTAATATGGTATTTAATTTTAAAAAATAAATAAAAAAAAACAGGTAGAAATATAAAAATCCTTTCACAAATTTAAAATGTATTAAAAAATCTCATCAAAATTCAAGAAAAGTCAAAAGTCTAAAGTCTACATATCATTATAAATCCTAAAATACTGAAAATAATGTTAAAAATTTACAAGTTTATAGTATGATTGCTTAATAAAGTTATTATATAAAAAACACGGAAATATGAAATATGTTTATAATTTTTTAATTTAAATTTAAAAAAATTGACTAAATACATGTAAAACTAAAATATTTTGAATAAACTAAGATTTTATGATATGCTTTTAAGTTAATCATAAAATCAGGATCATTAGTCAATGACGAAAATTTGTACCTTTGCATCTTTTTTTGTATTAAATATCAAATTATACTCAAAGTAACGTGCATTAGATAGCATTTCTGCATTTTTTAAAATGTATTAGGTGATTGTACTTTTACATTAAATAAGAACATGTAATAAAAATATACTATTTAAACAATACTAGATAGATATATAAAGCAAATAAAATGTTTTGACTCATCAAAATAACTATCTTTAAGTAGTGAATTAACAAAAAAATTCAGGTTAATAATCTTTGAAGTTAATGGTATTCATGATTAAAACTGATATGTTTCTCTGAATGTTATTCCAACATATATTTTTATACCTATGTGTGTCATATGTATTTTCTCAATGTTTCCATTGAGAAAAACATAAATCTTGTAGTAGAACATACCTTTTTTTAAGAGAATATTTTTAAAAAAATTCTACCATACATTATTTATATGCATTTATTACCTGCTTTAGCAATACAAAGAACATCAGATACTTCTTCAAGATATATATCTGTATCAAAAAGTTCTGATTGCCTTACATTAACTTCAACTCGCCCATCTTTAATCTATAACATATATTAAAATAAGCAATTAAAAATGTTTTAATATAACAAGAGTTTACAATACTTTACTAAAAAAAAATAATCTAAAACAATTTAAAGCAATTTTTTAAAATTATCTTTAATTACCTGTGACATAATAGCTAGTAATTCACTAAGAAGCAAACGTAATTTTCTAGCAGCATCACTTCTCTCAAATTCTAATGTCAATCCATTCTGTAGAGAAGATACTAAAATACTTTCTCCTAAATGGCCTCCAAGTTTCATTCTATAAAAATAAAATATCAACTCTACATTTAAAACAAAATTGATTTTATAATTTTTAAATTAATAATTAAAAATAAATCAGAAATTATATTGAGTGAGACACTTGAACAGAAACTTTATTTAGAAAAATCTAGTACTAATTAACAGATACAGTGTTACTTGTATCTGTTAATTAGTTCACAATAATTATTTTCTAAAATATAGATGATTGTATCTTAAGAATATCTGCATTCATCTAAATATTCAAATAATAATGTTTATAGAAAAGCCAGCATAAGTTTATTTAAAAGATTTTGTCATTATTAAATGAATTATGATGATGAACTAGCCACTATAGTAACTTACTGAATTACTTAATGCACTTTTAAAACAGGATTTCTAAGTACACTTTTGCATATTTAAAAATTTACACTCTTTATTAAAGGATTATTTTTATTTCTAAGATCAAGACCTAGTTGCATAAAAATTACAAGCTGTAGCTTGTAGCAAGTATTTGCAACTTGTTACCTATTGTACAGTACAACTGTGTAATATTTGATGTATGAACACAAATATTGCACTAACCTTTAAAACGTTTCCAGAAATTCATTATAATAAGAAGCAAATGTTTTTAGCCTCTTTCAATGGCCAGCATCAGGCTTTCAATGACAAGTTTTAAGCCAAACTTTTTAGAACACTTTTTAAAAGGAAAGAAAAACCAATCGATCATATTAATGAAAAGAAACAAATACACATCAAAGCTAGATCATATCGAAGACACAGAATGCTAACTTATTGATAATGACTATGTGAAACACTACAGAGAAGAATTATAATAATGACTAACACAAGCCTAGCAAGAATTCTAAACTTAAAACACACTGCTTTACAATCTCCAGACACCCCAAGGTTCTTTGTGTTCACAAAAATGCATAAACCAGGCCATCTTCTCTGCCCGATAATCAACAAAGCCTGATCACCCTCAATTCGCATAGAAAAAGTAGTACACAAGCTATTAAAAGACCATCTTAATGGGTAAAACTTTACCATCCAGAATTCTTTATAACTTATAGATAAATTTAAAAAAATTAAACTACAAGGAGGCAAATACATTACAGTTCTTGATTTTGTCTCAGTATTCCCATCGGTCAAACTGGAACTATGTTTTTGTGAGTTAGAAGATGCCTTTTTCAGGATTATACCATCTCCATAAGAATACCATCAACATATACTAGAACTAACTCACATCCTATGCTAGATGTCATTTTTTTAAATTAAATGGCAATTCCTACCTACAAAAAAAGGAGTACCAATGGGCAGCCCACTATCGGAGACTTATGTAAACTTGTAGTAAGATGCTCAAGGCTAAAATCATGCACGAGTTTCTTCCTAATATATATATATTATATAGACAATGTCTTTATAACATGCTAACAATTTTTAATGACAATCCATATGGGCTCATAATAAAATTGGATCAAGAGAGCAACAACAAAGCTCACTTCTTAGACATACAGATATTCCTGCAGGATAACGAGATGCATACTTATATATTCCACAAACTTCTGTACATCCCCATTTTTATTCATGTTGCATCATGTGATCCACCTCAATACAAGATGGCACTATTCAGATCAGTAGTAAAGAAAATTGGAATGCTTTCGGGACATTCCAATTTTCAACGCTGACTCAGCACTGATCTCAACATTCGTTAAAATTTGTTCCTTTTTTCAATGTTGAGGTAGCGCTGTTGTCAGCGCTGACTCAACACACTCAGCACTCAACAGATATGTTGACTGCTACCTTCCAATGAATTGTGGGTAATTGGTAAGACATTTGAATGGAATCCATCTTGCTGAGAATGGAATTATGGGAACTAAGCACTTCGTACTCGAGTTGGAACGTTGTTGATGACGTCAAATTGTTGACTTCAACACTCAACACTCGCGTTGAAAATTGGAATGTCTAGATTGTTCAAACATATCTGACACCAACAAAGAGCCAAAGTACATTATAGATGTAGCTATAAGACACAGCTTTAGCAAAACTCTAGTGCCTGCTTTGGCTAAATGTTATATAATGGACAGGCCAAACAACATATGCCATACAAACGATAGAAATCAGGCAACTCAAGAAGCAAACAGCAAGCAAATTGTAGTAGATTTCCATCCTAGATTGGTTGCTACATACAAATAGCTCTTTATACCAAGCACTCAGTGGCTTTCAAACATAGCCCTACAATATTCAGACTCCTCATGAACACAATAGATAATTACATTATTAACAGATCACCAGGAGTCTACTCTTAACCACTGTATGATGATGGTAGATTTAACAATAGCCTCGTATATATAGGATCTAGCAACAAGACCTGGATACAAAGATTGGCCAAACATATATATAAACATTTCAAAGAGCAAGACAACTATCACTCTAGCACAATATGCAATGGAGCCTGAAGTGTCAATACTATGGGAAGATATATAAACAATAAGGACACTGAAATTATTCTAACACATGGAAAGTGCTTGTAGACAATCTGATATAGGAAGATAGGTTTTAAGTCTACTACACTAAAATGGGAACCAATAAAAGTGCAAACAAATATATAAAGACAAGATACAAAAATAAAAGCAAACAGGTTAAGAATTTACAAAATATAAAACAATGTACTATGTGAATATACAAGACCTGTATCTTGATCTATTAAAGAGCCCAGTAATACTACTGATAACAAGTGACAGTCATCTAATTTCCAGACAAACAATTCAGAACTGGCAGGTATAAATGCAGCTCTAAATCAGGCAGTTGGCACCTATCAGTTTTATTTAAAGTCTGTATTAACTATACATGTATATACATGAGGGTTTATCACACCGGTGTATAATGTGTATAATGTATAATTAATACAGACATCATTAAGGGCTAAAAGCAATAGATTATTAGCAGTTCCTTTGACTATTTTACTCCTACAGGCATGGTCTACACCTCTATGTCATTCTAAGCTGTATTTGTACCAAATGGTGTTTGTTTATATGTTAAATAGCTCCATATTGAATTTACAAGACACAATTCCTAACTTTTAAAAGTATTATAACATTAAATATGTTAAATGTAGAAAAATGCATATCTACGAGGACAGGCTGAAAAGTAATGCACACATGCTTGTAGAGCACAAACGAAATGATTTTCAGAAGCGTGCTAGGTGGCATATAGAAGTAACATTCCCCCTCTATGTGCATGCACAGTTTGAGGTTGTTGCATTCATTCAGTATATTTTGAGAAGTGGAAATATGGAGACATGTTCTGGTGCTATGTCAACGCAAGTTAAACGATGTGCTGTTATTGAATTTTTAACTACTGAAAAAATTACGTTTAAAGGCTGTTTATGGTGACGATGCTGTTGATAGGTCTATTGTAAATTGATGGATAATAAAATTTCGTGGTTGCAAGTCTGGAAAAGCCATAATTGTGGAAGTCCAATCACTGCCACAGACAATTACTGTTGCACCTTGTTGCAATGTTTAATTCTTCTCAGTACATACAGACTCTAAAACATCTCTGATGTTGAGTTTGACATGTTAGAGGCAGCCTGGCACCAATAATCTTGCAACATGACAACGCTTGTCCACACATCTCGCGCGCAACTGGAGAGGCTCTGCGAAACCAGAAGTTTGAACTGATTCCACACCCTCCTTATTCCCCCAATCTTGTGCCTTGTGATTTTTATTTGTTTCCTCTACTTAAGAGAGACCTCAAGGGTAATCATTACACCTCGGATGATGAGGTGAAGGCAGCTGTCAAGTCCTGGATTCGAGAAAAGCCGGAAGAATTTTTCAGTGACGGAATGAAAAAACTTGTTACACATTGGGAGAAATGTGTTAGNTCTTTTCAAAGTGGTCCACAAAGTTTCAAGTCTATAATTTGATGTTAATTATATTAAACTGTTTGGGAGTAAGCACAAAATTGTTATGTAGAACATATCACACAGGAACACTTTTTGATAAAAAATGTAGAATTTATTTTGTACAACAGAAATGCATTTCAGGCTATTTGACACTCTTCAGTCCTTACTGTACAATTTGATAAAAGTAAACTTTCTTTAGCAAGTTTTAACTTTTGTTTTACAGTTTTACCACTGTTATTTTAAAATATTTAGTTACTCCAACAGTCAGTATTAAAAATTATTTCTGTTTTATCATAAGTTCTATGTACCAATTTTCTGCTTACTCCCAAAGAACAATAAAGAGAACAAGAAGCAATCAAATACTATATTAAACTGTTTCATGTGTATAGTACCTTCTCTAAAACAATCAGGAGAATTTGCAACCAATCGGCATAGTAATCCTGGTCCATTCTTCACACGTATTAAAGCTTCAGCAATATCAGTAATTTGTAAAAGTCCTGGTAATTCTAAAGAACAAATAAGCATTTGTTGTACAAATTGATATTATTTAAATTTATAAATTTCATTGGATGTAATTAAATTATGCAAAATTTTTGAAACTTTTAAATTAGCATACTGCTTATAATCAGGCTATAAGTCTACTAAAAAAAATACAATTATAATTATTAATTTAATTACAAGATGGTGCCGAATGTCTATCTCTCGTAGCAAATTACCTAGTATTAATTATTAAATTTAGCAGAGTTATAGCCCAATTATTTAGACAATCATTTGGTGATGTAATTTATATTTTAGTGATTCAACGGTCTTCGTTTATGTAAGAATATGTTGAATAACAACATAAGGGCAAGAAACACAGTTATTAAAAATTACAGCTATCTTACTATGCAAACAATAACTGAAGCATGCAACAACATAACATAGTAAATGTCGTTTTTCTCTATATACACTTTATTGAAGAATTGAATTCTAAATGCAATGTTTTCTGCTACAAAAGATATTATGGCAATATTGGCACTGTATCTGTATTTTAAAGTTGAATTTATGTAAAGCCGTGANTTTCATTGGATGTAATTAAATTATGCAAAATTTTTGAAACTTTTAAATTCGCATAC